CCCCCCCCCCCCCCCCCCCCCCTCTTCCCCCTTAGAATGGAGGGAGGATCTGCATCATATCTGATTCATTGAATTCATTCATGATTTATCCAGGGCAGCTTGGCAGACAGACACACACATATATTTGGCCAACTGAAAAGTGGCAAATATGGCGCCCAACTGAAGAGTGGCGATTATGGCGACCAACTGAAAGGTGGCAAGATGCAATATGGCGCCCAACTGAAAGTTGGCAAGATGCAATATGGCGCCCGACTGAAAAGTGGCAAATGGCGCCCAGCTGGAAAGTGGCAAATGGCGCCCAGCTGAAAAGTGGCAGGACGGAAATATGGTGCCTATGCTGGAAACTGGCAGGGTGGCAATATGGCACCTAGGCGATGTGCCTGGCCTAGCTGACGGCCACCGGGCCTGTATCGTCCCTCGTATGCAGTCGGATACATGCGGACTAGGGGAAGGGGCTGACTCTGGCTAATGGGAGACTGCTGAGGCTGGAAAAAAAGAGACTAACGGACCCCTAACCTGACTAACCCTCTAACCTACTACGGGCCCAAGGGCCCGTGTGGTGCATACCACATATAGTTTCCGGATGCGGAGGGCACCTGCAGTCAGGAACGGAGGGACAGTTCTCTACGCACATGGATGCAGAAACCATGTCATTGTAGTGATTGTGACAGAGACGATGGCGGCTACAGCAGAGTGTAACAGTGTCTGTAGCGGTGCAAAGGAGAAGGTCGCAGAGTGTTGGTACATTGTCCTGCTGCAGCACGGGGCCAGAGGAATGATCTTCAGCATAAAAGAGATTGCGGACAGTCTGGTGTGGCAAGAAAACAGCATCATTATGTAAGAAATCACTAACATCAGTCATGGCATGGACCATGATGCCGTTGTCCCACAACTCCCAGTGGTCAGAGGTATGTACTGGCCAGGTCCGTGCGCAATGCAGGCAGAGATGTGGGATGGAGGATTAAACCACGCACCTGCTCGAGCATTGCATAGTTCAACTTGGCGGTCCCTCATTGCTACTTGTAGGAGAGCAATGGTAAAGCCTCTTTCCCTGGTATGATTACAATCCTCTGGCTCTAGGCGGGGGAGATCAGCATCAAGCTGAAGGGCGATTGCAAGGAAGTCTGATGGTGTATAAAACGGGCAGTGGAGAATGTGAAGACATATATTAGTTGCAGTCAGACCACAAAGATTTGTGAGGATCTCAGGCTGGTGTGCCGGATGCTGGCCAACAATTTGCAGATCACCCAGATGGTGTTGCAAGCCCAAAATGTCTTGGTTGTTTGTTGGTCAGTAATTTGCAGATCACCCATGTGGCCTGCGCGTGATGGGGCACACATTTGTGGTTCATCCGGATGATGCTGGTCAGCCATTTGCAGATCCCCCATGTGGTCTACGCCTTGTGGGGTTAACTGCAATCCGAGCAGATCATGTTCCAATCCCTCAACGTTTGGGGCCGCATCCTGAGCAAGGACTGTCTCTGGAATCGGGAGTGTACTCTGGACAGGGACCACATCCTGTTGTACAGGTGAGCTGTGAATATCTAACGCTAAAGGGCATAAAACATGTGTGGTGTTGAGTTCAAGGATGCTGCAGCCCTGGAGGTGGGCTGGATATCACGACCGGTATGGATCCAGTTTATATAACACCTCCAAGGGTTGTAGTGGTTACGATACTTCGTTCCTGTGACGGAGGGTGCTGGTTCGAGGCCGTCCGTGCACGGCAGGGTGTGATGCCCTAAACACACGTTGTTCAGTAATCACTGTGAGGCGCCTGTGAACCAGCAGGCAAGTTGGCCCGCAAGAGTGAGCAGGTCTGGTAGCGGTGGTGGGGCTACTTGTGTTCGACGGAGTGTGCGTGATTGTCCAGTCCGTGGTGTGGTGTGCGTTGGGTGTGTGGTGTTGAGTTCAAGGATGCTGCAGCCCTGGAGGTGGGCTGGATATCACGAACGGTATGGATCCAGTTTATATAACACCTCCAAGGGTTGTAGTGGTTACCATACTTCGTTCCTGTGACGGAGGGTGCCGGTTCGAGGCCGTCCGTGCACGGCAGGGTGTGATGCCCTAAACACACGTTGTTCAGTAATCATGGTGTTGCGGCTGCCTGCAAGCAGCTGGACTGTCTACAGGAGGCATAGGAGCGGATATTGTCATTTGGAACAAAAGAACTGCGGCAACCTGTGGAGCAGGCACAGAGAGAATTGGGGTATAGACAAAGGAACAGGCTGCTGATCCCCGGACAAGTGACGATGCCGCGCATGTCGTCGACGGTACACAATAAGAGGAGTAGTGGTGTTTCAAACAGAAGATGAACATGTCCCCGGCAACAATGGGAACAATGGAAACCGGAGAGTCTGTTCGCAAGCGAGACCGCGGAGCAGATGGGGGTGGCGAGGAGGAATGCAGCCGTATGTGGTCAAGCACAGAAAGAGATGAAAGGGTGGTGGATTGGGCAAGATTTCGAAACAAAGGACGTGAGTGTTGGAAAGACTATGATGTTCTTTGTGCTGGAGCTGCGGCAGAGGAAGTTGTAGCAGCAAAAAGTATAGTACGGGGAGTTCCATCTATAGAAACTGATGTACTGAAGACTGCAGCAGAGGAAGCTGTAGTGGGAGCTGCAGCAGTGGAAACTGCAATGCAGTAGCAGAAACTGCCAGAGTACAAAACGGAGTTGTAGAAACTGTAGCAATGGAAACTGCAGTAGTAGAAACCGCAGCGGTTGAAACCGCAGCAGTGGAAACCGCAGCAATGGAAACAGCAGTAGTGGAAACTGCAGCAGCAGAAACTACCACAGCAGTGGAAACTGCAGTTGCAGAAACTGCCGGAGTGAAAACCGGAGCTGTAAAAACTACCGCAGCAGTTGAAACTGCAGTAGCAGAAGCTGCCGGAGTGAAAACCGGAGCTGTAGAAACTGCAGTGGTGGAAACTGCAGCAGTGGAATATAGAGCATGTCATTCACTATCTGCTTGCCTTCTTTCAGGGATATAAATCATATATGGACAGCCCTTTCAGGAAAAGGCAGGAGCCACACCAAGACCTTGTATAGCCTCACAGTTAAATCCACTTACAGACTTCTCAGGCCAAAGATCAATCTCCGCGATCAGGTTGAGGAGCGCTGGAGACACCAGTTGAACATCCCCAAAGAAGAGCTGAGGCCAATCAAATGGTTTAGTACAACCAAAATGAAACCCGCCAAGTTCGCCTCGCTTCAATGGCAGATTGAGCATCGCTGCCTACCAACTAACAACTGGCTCATAGACAGAACATCTCTAGAACAGAAGGGGTTAGCCTTACCATGGTGCAAGCTGTGCACGAATGCATTCCCATCCAGAAAACGGCCGGAGACAATCGAGCACATATTTCTACAATGCCCGGGCGATCTCTGGCTGTGGAGATGGTGGGATAGAATCTGGGACCAACTTCAGACAAAAATGCCATGGCCCTGGGACTGGAGGGCCCTGCTCTGTGAAGCCGAGACCGTGGGGCAAGCTGACCCCCCTGATGAGTTTACTACTAATCTGTTTAAGTTAGGACGCAGGGCGGTGCTCTGGGCATTATGGCGAAGACGCTGCACATATGAGATGGAAGGAGCACGACTAGAAGGCCCTGAATTTACAGAAAATGTGCAACAACAGATTCAAATCGAAATCATGGCAAAATGGGAACATGTCAGAACACAAATCCGCTCTCTAAACACAATCAAAGACATCGAGCAAAGAATCCAAGCATTCTCTTCAAGCTGGCTGGGGGGRACTACCGGTGGGAAGATAGGGRAAGTGGAATGGGATGGGGCCAAACGGGAAGTTGCGGAGGGTCAAGAGAGGACGGAAAGACACAAGGATTACCAACTGATTTTCCACAACTGGACTGACATAGACACAGCTATTCCTCTGAAGCCCCCGGAAAACTTCCATGATTTCTTCCCCCCCCCTTTGAATTGCCTGGTAGGAATGCAGTGGTATGGCATGGACAGTTAACCGGTGGTAAAAAAGGGGGAAGGGGGAAGGGCAGGTCCAGTGTTCGCTGCAATAGAGGGGAGAGATGAGGATAGGTAGCCAATCTAGTCAGGCGCCCAGCAGCAGGGTGAAGAGTCCTCCTGGTTCACAGCTCCCCCCTCAACCCCACCTCAACCCCATCTCTCATTTACCTCTCCTGTTCCGAGGTCTACATCACTACGATTTACACATGCCTGCTCAGTACATCCCCTGGAGGCAGGGCAATCAATGCTGGCAGGCCTCACATTCACTGTTCTCAC